ACACACACACACACACACACACACAATGTGTTTGCTTAAAAATGTACAGCCATCATAAACCTTCATTTACAACACGGGTTCAGTAATATCAAAGCAGGGTAACTAACTTACCTCTGATTTTAAAAGATATATGATGAAGACAAGTTTTAAAATTGTCCATTATGTTCATCTGGGTAGAAAGCGATCTAAATTATAAAATACAAACGTTTTCGAATGACCAACAAACCCATCTGCACACTTAATGACTGAAAGACTACTCGCTAATACACCAGTCGTGTAGCATATGTGTACAAGAAGACACAAAACAATTAGCATATACTTTTTAAAAAAAAAAAGAGATCATAGTGTGTGTCCATAGGTGTGAATGCGAATGGTTGTCTGTCTCTATGTGTTAGCCTGGTTAGACTGGGGAAATGCTCAGGATGTATCATGCCTCTCGCCCTAAGACAGCTGGGATAGGCTCCAGCCCCTGCATGACCCTGACAAGGATAAGTGGAAGAGGATGGATGGATGGATCTATTGTACAAGCCAATATCCTTAAATTCCCTATCAAGCATACTGATTGTTTAAAGGTGACACAAGTCAATTCAAATATTTTAGAGAAAGAGGCAAAAATAGACCAAGAAGGGGGATTTTCACATGTTTACTCAGGAACTCACTCCCCCCAACCATAAATTGTTTGATGTGTGTTTGTGTTTTTTTAAACTCTGTGCTCCGTGGTTGGTTGGGTGGTTGGTTGGTAGTTTTAGGTCAGGGGTGGGCAACTCCAGGCCTCGAGGGCCGGTGTCCTGCAGGTTTTAGATGTGTCCTTGATCCAACCTGATTTAAATGGCTAAATGATCTTCATCACAGTAATGAGAACAAACACTCTGTGGCCATTTAAACTATGAGGGATGATTAGGGTAAGAAAGAGGCAAAAAAAAGTAAGACTGGGATCAAGTGATTTTTTTCTAACTTATGGTTTAGATCTGTTATGGATATTGTTAGAGAAATAATGATCTCAGTTCTCAGGTCAGCAGCCAAAATGCCTCAATCTCTTTTGAAGATTGCTCAGTCATCATGTCAGCCTCCCCCACAGGCTGAGATATGGGGGAGGCTGCCTGCTACACCAAAATTTAGTAGGTCATTAGCAGTGTTGGTCAAGTTACTTGAAAAAAGTAATCAGTAACTAATTACTGATTACTTCCCCCAAAAAGTAATCCCGTTACTTTACTGATTACTTATTTTCAAAAGTAATTAATTACTTAGTTACTTTTTAAAAACACGATTTACAACCTGAATAGGTGATAAAGCGATAGATCTTTCAGCCCAATTCTACTTTTTCTACATAATCCATCATACAAAATGTAATCAAATGGAAAAGTCCCTTTTTAAAACTTGTTTTATTAGTTTTAACCTTTTAACTTTATGCATCAAGCAAAAATGTAATTATATGCAACATTCTCTGACTGGAAGAAATTTGTTTAATATTTAAACCTATTTTCTGCACATTCCAGCACATAAAATAAAATATTTTTTGTGTTTACACTCACTCTTTCAAATAGATGCAAGTAAAACACAGCAGAAAATAAATAAAGTCAAAGACTCAGCGGTCCTTTTGCTCTATTTTCACCTGTAAAGCAGGTGGGCGGAGGTTTACCTTGGTGCAGGTGTGCCACAGCGGTCAGTGGAAGAATCCGCGAGTTTCTCTGTGACTTTCCCATTACGTCATAGCGCACTCGGCGTTTGCACGGAAGTTTAGGGGGTTTTTTTCACTGTAAAAAGAAGTTTTCTTCCCACGCACAACGGACACAAATTTTTATGTCACTTTTTATGGAATCAAACTCAAAGTAAGGTCAGTACTTCCACGCTTTAAACGCTGCACGCTCATACTCTCTCCCGCACTCGATATATTATCCATTGTTGCACTGCACACAGCTGTTTTCACAAACGTCGCACTTGCTTACGTCACTGTCATGAGACATTCTCGCAAAAAATCATGGTTTTAGTAACGCAGTAACGCAGCGTTCCTACGGGAAAGTTAGGTAATCCAATTACCGTTTTTGCAATAGTAATCCCTTACTTTACTCGTTACTTGAAAAAAAGTAATCGGATTACAGTAACGCGTTACAAGTACCGCGTTACTGCCCATCTCTGGTCATTAGTAATGGAACTTGGCTGAATGCTGAGGTGGCAATTCAGCAATTTGATTCATGTTGCAGCAGCTCAGGGTGAATGAACATGGTGCAATAAAAGTAGTTTTAGAAGTACTTTTTTTACAATGAACTTTTACTTAAATTTACTTGAGTTGGGTTAGGGGTTGCCACTAAATTTTTTTCAGGTGTGTTGCAGCAGGGACACATGGAAAAGTTTCAGGACACCAGCCCTCGAGGACTGGAGTTTTTGGACTGTATGATATAAACGAATAGAACTAAAGATATTAAAAAAATTTTTTTTTAAAGAATCTAGGTTATATACATGTGAGAAAAATCTAAGAAATGTGGATAAATGTATATATATGAAACTTAACA